GAACGCAGGATAGCTTGGTAAGCGTCTTCTCTGTGCCTGATATGACGTAACATTGTAGAGTATGCAGCATGCATGTTAAGTACAAGTGGTTGTATTTGGCTTGTTGCTGCAGCATTTTTTGAGGATGTCTTAAAAAGCAATTATCACTTGATAGGGTTGGATATGTGCAGATTATTGAAATCATCATTTCATGGAGACCAAACTTTGTAACTTGAATTATTGTATTTAGTATTTGCTTATTTTGTCCCCACCCCCAGTACCTCAGAACAGAATTCCTTTTCTGAAAAGAACAGATGCTGTTAACTTATCAGGACTTGATACTAAAAAGCTTGCAAAAATCTTTGTGCTGTTTATTTTTTAATTTAATCTATATGCAAAGCATATTGTAATTATTGCTGTTGGAGGTTTGTAAGTTGATGATTCCTCCCCACTCTTTTTGTGCTCAGAGGAGATAGATTAGGTATGCCAAATTGACAACTTGGTATAAAGAAATAATGACCACTGAAATAAAACAGGAGTTCAAATAAAAAGCAAACCAGCTACAAATGTAGAATGAAAATATCTTTTAGTAAAATGTTAGCATGCTGTACTTGGAACAGATGCCACATTAATTCAAAAGAGAGCCCAGAAAATGTGGCAACTTTACGATGTCAATGGAGGGAGCTGCAATAGTTCTTGTTTTCATTGTGTAGAGTCCCCAGTACCTCCAGGTCCAGTCCTATTCTGTATATTTATTTTCTGTGTGTATTACATGTTAATATACAAATATCAAGTCCATGATTAATATTTTTATTTGGAGAATATTTAATTATGTATTTAACATTGTCTTACTAGTAGACTTTAGGGTAAGAAGCCCATTAACTTGTAATACAGCAGTAATAATTTTTGTTTGAAATATGCATGTGAAGATGTTTAGAATTTGAGGAAAAAAATGTACTTTTCCCCACACTCTTCAAGGCACATTGATGATAAAAAGCTAGTCTAAGAATTGAGTCTTTCAAAGAGGCCTAGTGCTTTTTAAATGTAGGATTTGGACAAGTTACAAAATTATGAGAATTTTGCATTTATTTTTTTCTCATTTAAATTTTTAGTTATCATTGGACATTTGTTATGGTTTTTAAGTAGCTTAGACTCATTCATTCCTTTTGTGTGTGTGTGTTGTGTGTGTGTGTGTGTGTTTTTATGATGCTGGGGAAGAAGACTGGGTGATGGAAGGATAGTATACACAGTTGGATTTTCCAGAGTGACATTCATTTTATAGAAGATTGTATTGGGACATCTCTGGATTGCCTGTTTCCTACAGTGCATGGTTAGTGTGGGTCTGAGCGTGGAGAGAGGCGGGCTGAGGGCTTTTAACCAGATTTACAGAGTGCTACTTCCTGAGCAGGGCAATGATCTAATCGCTAGGGATGTATTCTCTGTGCCTGTAAAGAAGTCTGGTGTGCATACTTAGAAAAGCACTCCTAGTTTTCTCATAATTAATCCAAGTGTACAATTTAGTAATTTGGTGAAAGGTTAAAAGTTTTGTTTTTGTGTAATTCACATGAAGGAAGTTTTTTTTCATGGCAGTAGTATACAGTGCTTGAGTCTTGGTGCAGGAGCCAGTCTTCATGGATTCAAATCCTGGCTTTGTCACGTGTTTACTCTGAGACTGTAGCTTTTGTCCCTTCACCTTCTGTGTCTCTTGTTGTCGTCTTCTGTAAAATGTGAATAAATAAAAGCTCCTGCCTGCTGTGGTTGTTCTAAGGAATAAATGGATTAATGTATAAACTAGTAGAAATAAGTACTGATTAAATGGAACTGATCTTTAGTTCTCTGCTCTTTTCTTCCCTTCTCAGGGATTAAGACAAATGTTCCACATTGGGAAAGGAATCTCAACTTTGTGGTCTGACCCGCAAGTTGGAATTTCAGTCCATCCACTTTAATGTATGCACGTTAGAGTATTTAAGCTTCCTTCAATAAAGATGTGTCATGTGTATAACTGCATACCAGCCCCTGTGCTGGTCACTTGAACTTCAGTTCCTTTATCTGTGACACAGGGACACAAGGATGATAATACCAACTTCCCTATAGTTTATGTGAACATAAAATGAGGAACTCTTAGCTGGGTATGGTGGCTCACACCTGTAATCCTAGAGACCTGGGAGGCTGAGGCAGGAGGATGGCAAGTTCAGAATCAGTCTCTCAACAACTTAATGAGACCTTATCTCAATAAAAAAAATAGTTCAATAGTAAAGTGCCTCTAGGTCAATCCTAGTACCAAAAAAAAAGGAACTCTTACAGACAATAAATAAGAACTGCTATTTATTATTGTTATAGTCCCATTAAAAGTTTATGGGAAAAGAATAAATATGGAACAATTTAGCTGGAAAGTAAAGTTTTTTTTTTTTCCCTCTTCCTGAAATGCCATGATAAGAAAATGGTATGATGATAAAAGTGAATCTAAGGAGTTCTTATTTTTGAATACCTCTAGGAGAAACAGAAAATATATGGGAATATGTTAGTATTAACAGAGCCTTTCAAAAATATTTCAGGGTGCTTTATTAAAACTTAATGATATAAGCTTTTCTTTCTTTATATTCCTTCCCCTCAGCAACTGATGAGACCACTGACAAGATACTCTGTAGTTTATCATAGAACACTTAGCACCACTTAGCATCAAGTCAGTAATAGACTAGATGTTAGAACTCAAAGTCCAAAATATTCATCAGCTGGTCAGTCCACTGGGTCTGACACATTGTGTATGTTAACCTTAACTTGTTTTGGGTGCAGTAACTAAAAGGAATAGCTGTATTGCCTGAGAGTTTGAAAGGGATATACATGCTTTCTAGTACTTATGGGCAGAGTTTGCTTTTTTGGGCATAATGTCTTTATGAAATCTCCTTTCATCTGATGTCTAGTTTTTTCTTATAGTGATCATTATTTTTTTTTTCCTATATTTAATTGTCATAATACACACACACACACACACACAAACACAAACATTCTTTTGGTACTGGGGATTGAACTCGGGCACTTTGTCACTGAGCTACATGAGCTACATCCCCATCCCTTTGTTATTTTTATTTTTAATACAGGGTCTTACTATATTGCTGAGGCTGGCTTCAAACTTGCAATTCTCCTGATTCTTCCTCGCAAGTCACTGGGATTACAGATGTGCATCACCATGCCCAGCTCATGTGGAACCTAGAAATTGGGCCTGAGAACAAGATGATTATGAGAAAAGCCACAGTAAATTCTTCTCAGAATTGAGGGTTATTATTTTTGGTTAGAGAATTGAGTTTTTAATATATCCATTAGAATGTTTGTATGCCTCCCTCCACCCCTTGAAAGTAAAACCAATAATTGACAGAAGGGAAAAGATTAAGTGTAAACATAATTTTTTTCATTTACTACTGATTTGGATTGGAAATTTTTTGATGCATGATCTGTTTTTTTTTTTTCCTGTAGGAGTCAGTAAGTGTACAGTATTTGTAATAGCTTATCAGAATATCCTGAATATGGTATATGTTACCACTTGCAAGAATTTGATTAGAAGTCTGTTTCATGTAAATAAATATAGGTATTTGAAATAAACTACAGCCAGGCATGGTGGCACATGCCTGTACGGGAGACTGAGGCAGGAGTATACAAGTAACTAATATCTTCCATTATCTTTTTGTTCTCATTTACCCAGCTATACCATTTGGTAAAGGCCTAGTAGGTGAATAACTTGATTTACTGTATTTTATTCTGTCTGTATTCCTAACATTGTTTAAGCTTTCTGGGAACAATTTACTCCTCACACTTCAGATAGAGCCCTAATATCCAGAGTATACAAAGAACTCAAAAAATTAGACAATAAGATAACAAATAACCCAATCAACAAGTGGGCCAAGGACCTGAACAGACACTTCTCAGAGGAGGACATACAATCAATCAACAAGTACATGAAAAAATGCTCACCATCTCTAGCAGTCAGAGAAATGCAAATCAAAACCACCGTAAGATACCATCTCACTCCAGTAAGATTGGCAGCCATTATGAAGTCAAACAACAACAAGTGCTGGCGAGGATGTGGGGAAAAGGGTACACTTGTACATTGCTGGTGGGACTGCAAATTGGTGCAGCCAATTTGGAAAGCAGTATGGAGATTTCTTGGAAAGCTGGGAATGGAACCACCATTTGACCCAGCTATTCCCCTTCTCGGTCTATTCCCTAAAGACCTAAAAAGAGCATGCTACAGGGACACTGCTACATCAATGTTCGTAGCAGCACAATTCACAATAGCAAGACTCTGGAACCAACCTAGATGCCCTTCAATAGACGAATGGATAAAAAAAATGTGGCATTTATACACAATGGAGTATTACTCTGCATTAAAAAAATGACAAAATCATAGAATTTACAGGGAAATGGATGGCATTAGAGCAGATTATGCTAAGTGAAGCTAGCCAATCCCTAAAAAACAAATGCCAAATGTCTTCTTTGATATAAGGAGAGTAATTAAGAACAGAGTAGGGACGAAGAGCATGAGAAGAAGATTAACATTAAACAGGGATGAGAGGTGGGAGGGAAAGGGAGAGAGAAGGGAAATTGCATGGAAATGGAAGGAGACCCTCAGGGTTATACAAAATTACATACAAGAGGAAGTGAGGGGAAAGGGAAAAATAATACAAGGGGGAGAAATGAATGACAGTAGAGGGGGTAGAGAGAGAAGAGGGGAGGGGAGGGGAGGGGGGATAGTAGAGGATAGGAAAGGCAGCAGAATACAACAGACACTAGTATGGCAACATGTAAATCAATGGATGTGTAACTGATGTGATTCTGCAATCTGTATATGGGGTAAAAATGGGAGTTCATAACCCACTTGAATCAAAGTGTGAAATATATATCAAGAACTATGTAATGTTTTGAACAACCAACAATAAAAAATTAAAAAAAAAAAAGATGTATACATTGTAAAAAAAAAAAAAAGAAATTCCAACACGTTTTTTTGATAATGCTATACTTCAGCTCAACAAGCATTTTAAAAATTAATTTTATAGTAGACTGCATAGTTTTCTTTTTTTAAAAAATATTTTAGTTGTAGTTGGATACAATATACCTTTATTTTTCTTTATTTTTATGTGGTGCTGAGGATTGAACCCAGGACCTCACACGTGCTAGGTGAGCGCTCTACTGCTGAGCTACAACCCCAGCCCCTGTATAGTTTCCTTTCAGTTAAAAAACTTATAATGACTTAAGTAAAGTTTTGTAGTTCTAAAATTAGCATAACATGAATAATATTAAAGATTGTGTGTGTTCATGCATGTGCATGTAGTACTAGAGATTGATCTTGGGCCTTATGCATGCTAGGCAAGTGCTCTACTACTGAAATATACCCCCAGCCCTGTACAACATTAAATTTTCTTTAGCTACATGCAGGATCTATAAAAGTTGCTTCACTTGGTTGAATGAAATTTTGGAACTTTTAGAAGTCTATTTCATGTAAATAAATGAAGGCATTTGAAATAAATTACAGCCAGGCATGGTGGCACATGCCTGTACGGGAGACTGAGGCAGGAGTAGTACAAGTTCCAGGCCAGCTTGGGAAATGTAGTGATGTAGCTCAGTGATAGAGCATCCCTGGGTTGAGTCCCCAGTAATGCACATAGACACAGGCACACACACACTCACACACATATACACCAAATCCAAACAAAGGAAAATAGAGTCTACCAGTATCTTTGGGGTTGATTTAAAGAATGACACAGTTTTGAAAACCAGTTTGTCCCTGCTGAGCTTGTAAAAGGCAGTGCCGCTTATGCTGGGTGTGCTCCTGCTCTGAGTGCGCAGGTTCTGTCCAGTTGGCAGCCCCTCTGCTACTTTATAGGAAGGTGCTGCCATTGGCTGCCTAAACTCCCTCCGTTGCCTTTCTGCTTCCCTCTTCTCCACGCACTCTTGGCTATTCCTCCTGCCTGTACTCTGTCCTGTCTGCTATTCATCATTCCTTCCAAAGCTATTACCATTTTCTTTCTTTTTCTCTAAAAACAAAACACTATTGTGATCGTTAGTTTTTAAGCAAAAGAGCTGTTCCCAACACTGCAAAGTTTTAGCAGTTTGTGTGTCCCCTTCTTCCTTCGTGTTTGGGCACTCAGCCAGGATTTGGGTAATATAGCTCAAAATCACTTGCAAATTAACTAAATATTTGTGAAATGTTTTATGTTGGACTAAGGGAGAGAGTAGAAAAAGACCTTTTACCCCAGAAGTTGGTGTATTTTCTTAAAGATGATGAGAGAGAGGCAAATGGTCGGATTTGTTACTTAACTAAGATAAGCTCTAATTTATTAGATTGCCCTCTTATGGACCTAATTGGAGAAGAAAATGGAAATTTTAATGTTGGTGATTTTGAAAATATTTTTATTATTAATGGAGAGGAATAGAATGTTTTCATTTAGTTTTTAAAATACAAAATATGGCTATGATACTTTATTATCATGTATTAATCTTTTATCTTTCATTAGTTGATAGTTGCAAAATAGTGGACCCTTTCTTTTACAGATTTGTCTTAATGCTTTTGAATTGTTACCTGAATTATTTGGTGAGAAAAGTAAAAATTGGCAATTAATTGTGCCTACATGTTAAGTTATTGGAAATGTAGTATTTAAATTCAGTGGCTTCTAAAATCTATACCAGGTCTTTTGTCCACTTTAAGTTATACACAGAGAAAAACATTTGAAACAAGAACCTTAACTTCATAGGATTAATTTTTTTCTTTCTTTATTTTCTTTTTGAAGTATTGGGGATTGAACCCTGGGCTTTGTACATATGCAAGGCAGTTCTCTTTTACTGAGCTAATTCCCAGCCCTTTTTATTTTATTTTCAGACAAGGTCTCACTATGTTGTGCAAGCTGGTCTTGAACTTCCTGCTTTAGCCTCTTGAGTAGCTGGGATTACAGGTTTGCACCACTATGGCTGACTTAAAACTTCATTATGGAAATTTAAAGACACACAAAAGTAGAGTGAGTAATATAACAAAACCTATGTATTTATTACCTAACTTCAACACTTATCAGTATTTTGCCAGTCTTTATCTGTAGTGTATATAGCATTACCAAGATAGTAATTTTGTTTTCAAAACATGCATTGCAAATAGATGCACTGGTATACTCAAAAGAAAAATGGTGTGAGAGCATGTTAACTCTTTTCGTACACTGCAAGTCTTCCTAAATGACTGGGAATCCCTTTTAGGATAATATTGTTTTATTTATCTTTTAACTTATTGAAGATATCTTGGCCATCACTGACTTAATGAAGAACCATATATGCAGGAAAGCTTTTTGTTTTTCTTATCCCTTCAGTTTTTAAAACTGCAATACTTTTGCTTTTGAATTTGCTGTTCTTACGAATTACATTTTGTTTTGGTGAATTACTATATGTCAAATTTAAGTTGTAAATCACTGAATCTTGTTCTGTGCTTGTGCATATTCTGTTTCTATTTAACTTGAATGTGTGTATTATGGAATATATATTGTAATTTATAGTTTGTGGAGGAGGGAATTTTGACTATCTACTAACTTTAAACTTGGTAACAGTGATGAGGAACTTTCGTCATTTGCTCCCTTGTTTTGCTTCTCTTTGGAGCAGCAAGATATGCATGTGCCTGCAGCTGGGGGCCTGTTCATTACTACAAGGTGATGGTAGCCTTATTTCTGAATTTCTTTGGTTTTTATTAGTTTAAATTAGACCCACAGGGGTAATTATTCCACCCCAATGCATGAGGAAGCCTAGTCAGTGGAAGTTGTGTGTATAAAACCCTGTATAGTGCATTGAAAATGTATCTTTAATGTTACGATGTTGTTCAGCATATGTAGTTTAGTGCAGGAGTGTACTTATTTAACAGGACCTTTAATAAGCTCCCTCTACACCAAAGATATATTTTTTAAAATTATACTTAAGAAGACTTTGTAGTATTCCCCAGTAGAGTTCATCTAGAGCAGTGAAACCTTTCTAAAATAAAACTTATTCCTTTAACCGGTATTCATTTAAGTGGGTTTCTCTGTACTTGGTTTCCATGGAAATAGCGAATCGCTAACGTTATTTATAAGGTGGAAGTAAAATAGGGTGCCTAATGGGACCCCATGCTGCTCTGATGAAGAGACTTAGGAAAAAAAATCCACGCTCATGGGATTTTTTTTTTATACAAGGTTAATGGAAGCCCTGATTTTAGTTTTCTATAACAGAACATATTTTTGGTTTTAGGCTAGCATTAATATCAAGCAAACAACTTCTTTTTGAGGTTTGTATTGCTTTCACTTTCAAGTTTTAGGACCACTTACTTCTGGGTGATTGAGGCTTTATGCTTCAGACTTCTGTTTCTTTGTGGTTTAAAAGTTAAAATTTCCATCATATTGTAACTGTTTCAATTTCTCATTGACATTTCAAAGTACAGATAAAAAGATAAATGTTCATTAATGATAGCAGTGATGATAAAGAACCAACATGTTGGACTACATAGACTTCTTCAAAAAATGTAAATCACATGGAACCATTTTTAGTTTCTAGGCCTTAAGTCAAGGTTCTTTATTTGTGTTGCTAAACCTGTGTAGCTGGAGAGAAAAGATTCTAATTTTCTTTGGGGATGGAAACAGGGAAAATTTTAATTTCTCTTTCCTTTTAAAAAGGTGGATTGTTGCCAAAGCCATTTTAACTAAAATAAACGTTCATTCTTTCAGTCTTTGAAATGTGGATTTGGGATAAACCTTGGCTTTCCTTCACTTTTTTGGTAAGGCCTACTCTTAGTTTTCTAGGCCTACAGTAAAACCTTGCATTTCTAAAGCCCTTCAAGTGAACAAGTGTCTTTCCCTTTGTGTTTGGGTGTGTGTATCTGTCTGTCTGTCTCACTAATTTTTCCATAGCCTGAAAGGCACCTGCTCATTTTCCAGCCTGGTCAGTACAGCAGTTCTAACCTGAGAGGGGAGGCAGGATGGAACACAACAAGATGCTCTAATTTTTGTTTATTTAGTTTTGTTTGTCCTCAGCAGCTTGTATTTGTTATCCTCCGTTATCCGTTTGTCTGGAAGTACTCTGTGATTTTTCTTGTCTATCACTGCAGCAGGAATTTTCTTCTGTGTTTAAAAGCAAAGATTGTAGTGTACTTAAAGCTCCATCAGGGGAGGAGGTTTTGTTTTATGTGTGTTTCTTTGGATAAACTTCTGACTGTAGTTGGGTTTATTGTGCTTTAGTTTTTAAAAATTTGGCTGTTCTAATCTTCCCTGAATTTATTTTTGCATGAGGTATTTAATCTCCAACAATTCACTGATTTCTTCTCTGCATGTTGATGCTATTTAATAAAATTTTCTTATTTTTTTTTAGCTTAGTTTTTTCTTGTATATTTTCTTAATGTTGTGTTTACCAGTGACCTTCCTAAATGACTTATTTGAATTATCTTTGTGCTCTGGAGACATAGGAATTTGGGATTATTATCCCATTTCTGAGAGAACAATTCCCAGTAGTTGCAGTTAGTGCAATAGAAAGGGTTTTCACAGATGCAGTACTGGGCATTCATCCTCCTCCTTGGTGCTTATGCTTTATGCTCAAAACTCCCATTAGTGTTAATAGGAGGCACTTGCTTAAATCCCTATACACCAAGATAAGCCCAAACTCTTTTCTAATGCCTTGTAGATACTGAGTTTTTTTTTTTTTTGATGGCAAGAATTTTGGTGTTGAGGTTAACTGACTATTAAAATAGAATTTGAGTTGTCTTGGGATATGGAATGATTTATTAAGTCTGATATGTAATTAAGAAGTTTTCATTATGATTAAACTCAAAACATTTACAGTTTTGTGAGCTGTAGAAGTTTGTGAATGGGGATTTTTGTACTTTAGCATGATGAAGCAAGATTTCTTCCTTCTGTTTACTTCTGCTACTCCTCAACTATAGAAGAAATGATTTTGATGGTTTTTGTATGTGTTGTAAGAGGACTTGGTAACTTTTTTTTTTTAAAACTTAATAAGTTTTCCCACCATTACTCTGTCAGCTTGTGTGGCTTATATTTTTCAAGCATAAAGAAGTTAATGTGTACTGTTTTAGGTTCTGCAGTCACTGGTCAAGTATTAGATAATCACTGTTTACTATACCTGCCTGGGAATTGTAGATTTTTATTACTTTCATTTATTTATATATAGTCTAATGGGAGGATTTCTAGATTGAGAGCAGTAAACGTGGCTGAGCTATGTCTCTCATTATCTTTGTAGATTTTGGCTAGTCATCTAGACTTCTTGGAATTTTGTTCCTCTGTGAAATGAAGGTGTGGATCTTGTACTCTGAAGTGTCTCTTCTAGTTTTAGGCTATATAAGGTCCCTCTCTTGAAGGTACTAAAGGAAGTTGTGTATTATAAGGCACTGGTTCCTAATCCTGGCTCCCCATCAGAATCTTCTAGGGGAGTTAAACAACAACAGCAACAACATCAAAACCCCCAAATATTTGAGCTCCAAATTAGATATACTGAATTAAAAATCTTTAAGGGTAGGACCTGTGAATCTATATTTTTGAAGTTTACTTGTCATTTTGATTTAGGATAGAGAAATACTTGTAGGAGGCATTATCTCTACTCAAGTGAGCGTGTGGGGGAGATAAATCATATAGGTTAGAATATGAGGCATTGTGTAGTTAAATTCTAAAATGAATGAGAAAGATATATTTGCTGGGAGTTTTAAGAAAGGGAGAAATGGAGAATAAGTATGGTTAGTGAAGATCTTTATCAATTAGTGAATCTTAATCAGGACTATAATGTCCAGGTCAGATTTGGATAGTTAGAAATTAAAAGGATATTCTTGTTAGGAGAAAGGGTGTAAAATTTTGGAGGAGAGAAACTTTTTTTTTTCCCCTCTAGTACTGGGGATTAAACCTAGGACATGTTAGGCAAGTGCTCTATCATTGAGCTCCATCCCCAAAGCTTTTTATTATTTTTATTATGAGACAGGGTCTTACTGAGTTGCCTAGGCAGGCCTCAAAACTGCAATCTGAGGAGAACAATTTTGATTACAATGTTAGTCTTTATTCTACTTTGGCAACTGCTGTAGATTTCCTAAACATTTGAGAGAGTGAGGCACAAAGTTATTTGGCGGAAGAGAGAGTATTCTGGCTAGAAAGAAAAGCAAATCGAAGAAGAGTCCTGAGCAGGGAACTTGACCTGGAATGACTGAAGTATAGAGAAGAAGCCATTGCTGCCGGAGCAGATTTAACATGGGGAGATGGGAATGTTGAGAGTGCAGAAGCCAAATCACTTAGTTCCTGTGGGTCATAAAAGGCTTCATCTTTCTCTGAGTATGATGGGGAAGTACTGGAGGATTTAGAGCTGAGTAACAAGATCTGTCTTAGACTTTGAAAAGATTGCTCTGAAATAGGCTTTATAAAAGCTGGATTGTTAAGGTAGAAGCAGGCAGGCCAGTTGGGAGGCCATGGTCTTAATCTAGGATAAAGATCATGGTGAGTTGGACCAAAGAGGTGGTAGTGGAGTTGTCACAAGAGGTCAAAGTAGGTATGTTTTGAAGGTAGAGGCAACATGGTTAGCTGTTGGACTGGATATGGGGATGTGGAAACAAAAGGAATCCATGGTGACCTTAATATTCTTTGCCTGAAAGATTGGAGTTACCATTTATTGAGTATGAGCCTGAGGAGGTAATAGATAAGTGGTTTAGTTTTGGATTTTTGGAGCTTGAGGATACATCTTTAGCAAATGTTGAGTGAGGCATTGTGTATGGGAGATTGGAATTCAGGGGTGTGATCTGGACTGTAGATAAAAATATGGGGGCTAGGATGTGGCTCAAGCGGTAGCGTGCTTGCCTGGCATGCGTGCGGCCCGGGTTCAATCCTCAGCACCACATACAAAGATGTTGTGTCCACCGAAAACTAAAAAATAAATATTAAAATTCTTTCTCTCTCTCTCTCTCTCTCTCTCTCTCTCTCTCTCCCTCCCTCCCTCTCTCACTCTCTCTTTAAAAAAATTATTAAAAAAAAAAAAATATGGGACTTTCCACTGTAGCCGGAGACTGGGTGAAGTCACTTAAGGGGAAGAGATCCAAGAACTGAGCCCTAGGGCAATGAGGAGGAACCAGCTAAAGAAAACTGAGGATGAGCAGAGAGATTAGGAAGAAAATTAGATGGTATCCTGGGAGTCAGAAGAAGAAAAGGTTTTAAAAAGGGAAGAATGATCAAATTGGTCAAATAATACTTAAAATAAGAACTGAGACTTTACTTAGTAGATACGGCAACAGGGCAGTCATTGGTGATCTTGACAAGAGTGGAGGGAAGCAAAGATCTAGTGGAATGGGTTCAATAGAGAGCCGGAGGAAAGGAATTAAAGGATGGTCAACTAAGTTTTAGGATGAAATGATGATTCAGTAATGACAAGGCGAAAATTGGTGTTTCATGAAAGTAAAGGGAGAAGTACTAGAGAGATGCTTATGGGAGGGCAAGAGGGATGGGGACAGAGGGATGGTTGTGAGGTTGGGCCTAAAGGATTCAGCCTCATTAAATGTGGGATTCTACTTTTTCTTCTAATCACTTACCTGCATTTAAATTTACTTCAAACTTACTATATTTTCTGTGGGAAGTTGGGTAGGGCAGGTAAAAAGAAGTTAAGCCTATTGAATATGAAGCTTAGTTATTGGACTACTGTCAGCTTGGCATAGTGGGGAAGGAAAAGAGATTGAATCTTCTGGGTAAGGTGACATTTTAAAGTGCCTTTGAATGTCAATTATCTGTGCTATTCTAGTCCCTTATCAAAATTTATGATTGAGCACAGGCTATAAACTTAATCGTTTGAAATTTGTAGTGGGGTGAATTAAATTTTAGCCTAATTTAAAACATGATCTAGTGTTAAACTTTTTTTCTACAAAATTTGTTTATTGCAAAGGTTTTAGATACTTTATAAAAAATACTTGGGAAGTGGTTTTTAATCTTCCATTTATTTAAAATATTAAAAATTTTATAACCATGTCAGAAATCTGAACCATTTGTTTGTCGGCTCTGATTAAAGCAGCTACCTGTGTAGTTCTGGAGAGGTAAATGATCTTCACTTTGCAAAAAATTGTGTGAAGTTATGTTAGCAAAATAATATTTATAAATAAAAATGTTTTGTATTTTTCAAGAACATTTCTCTATTAAAAATATAAAAGTTTTTTTTTTTCTTTGAATTACTAGGTATTGAACCCAGGGGTTCATGAATGAGAGGCAAGCGCTTTACCACTGAGCAGCAGCCCCAGCCCCAAATATAAAATTTTGAACTACTTCATTTATAAATGTGAAACATATTGTGAGAAGCAGATTAATACACTTCTAGTCTTCTTAACATGAAGAAATCAAACTTGCATTTTAGACACTTTTTGCATGAGTAGTGTAAAAACTAGAGCCTAATTTACATATAAATCCTATGTTTTATTGCTCAATCCTATTAAATTATAGAAATTAAATCCTTGCCTTTTTTTATATCAGTTTCTAAATGGTAGTCAATTAATAATCAGTCTTTAGAAGAAACACTTACTGAGTTCTGATGCACAGTGTTTAAGAATTGCTAGTCTAAATATAATTCTTCTTGCAAATCTGATTGAAGCTGTGGACCATCTTCCCTGATAACTACCTAGGTTCATACATATAGAATTTAGCATCTAGTACCCATAGAGTTGACAGATCCTTCTAAAGCTCACTCTTGGGATCCTTTAAGCATAAAGGATTTCAGGTTTAAAACTTGCCCTAGATAGCTTACTTATATGATCAAAAAACAAAACAAAAAAACTTAACGTGCAGACTTCACCAGAAGTTTTCCAGCATTTATTGACATTTGTTTCTTAGAAGAGTTAACTTGTACAGATGCTTAAGAGAAAGGTCTAAGAGAAAATAAGCTCAGTCAAAAGAATCTCAGGATCCGTAAGCTCTCCTTTAGCTTTGCCTCCAACTAGCTGAGTGACCTTTGAGGAAGTTACTTAACCTTCTCAGGCTTTGCTTTCCTATGTGGTTTCTGTAGTCCTTATAAGCAGTTTTACTAATAGTTTCATGATATGGCTTCACGGTATCATGGTAAAATTTTTTAGTTTAGAATTGGCTGTGCTATGGAATTTTGGAGAAAAGGCCCTTCAGATAAGGTATTCATACGTTGTGCTGCCTTTTACTGAATGACTTTTCAGAAGAGTGTATGTGATCCTGCTTTCTCAAATGCTCAATAAATAGAAACTGAAATGCTGACATTTCTTGATCACTCTGTGTTTTCACATATTTTATATACTCTTGAGTATACGAGCCTTTGTTGATTTTTTTTTTTGTATTGCAATTATCATGTCCAATTCTGTGGCTTTGTGGCTTGCTTTTTCACTCTCTTAATGGTGTTTTTTTTTTTCCTTATGAACAGAAGTTCTTAATTTTAGTTTAGTCCAATTTATCAGTTTTTTCCTTTTTACTATACTTAAAGTTGGTAATATTTTAGTTTCTTTGTTGACAGTTTGTATTAAAAGTTTTGGAAAGTTATTTATTTACAAATAGTGCTATGGGAGATTGATGTATAAGGAAGTTTTCCCTATCCTGAAAGAACTAACAAGAAAATCCTAATAGGGAAGATAAGTCTGCAGCCCACAGTTTAAATGTCCAATCATTTAATTGATTTTAACATTTATCGAGCGAATACAATGTGTCCCTATTTCAGGCATTTTTCTGAGTGATACAGAATCCTATAGGTAACCATAATGTTAAGAATCCACTTTTTAATATCTGTACCATTCTACAGACTTTTGTATGATTTTTATTTTGGTTGGCAGTCATTCTAATCTTGGTGATTAAAATTGTTATTTGGTCAGATCTGAGAACTTTTATTAAAGGGCTACTGCTAAAGAAAAGGCAGGATAGAACAGTAAATGGAATTTCTCATGGAAATGAATGCCAACTCTATGAATTTTAAATATTTTTGCTGTATGTTTGATATGACTGTGCATGATTAAACAAAGGTTTATTATCTGGGTGATGTGAGGATCTTTTGAAATACCCCTGAGTAAATGAGATACTACTGGAGTAATGTAAGTCAACAAATATACTATGTTTAAGGTACAAGAAAGACTGAGCATGGCTTGTGGAATTTATGTAATTTAATGATAAATGTTAATGGCAAGGTTTTGATTTTTGTTTCCTGATATTGGATTAGGATCTTAAAACCTTGCTTTTCGGGGGGGCTGGGGTTGTGGCTCAGTGGTAGAGCCCTCCACTACCATGCACAAGGCACTGGGTTCGATCCTCAGCACCACATAAATGTAAAATAAAGATATTGTGTCCACCTAAAACTTAAAAATAAATATTAAAAAAAACCACAACAACCTTGCTTTTCTTTCTGGCTTTGTTAGTGAGTAGATATGTGGCATGGAAAAATTGCTTTTGTGTATGTGGCTTACAATCTAAAGTGGTGAGATACATTTCAGAATGTGAATGTGAAGTTTTAAATTCTCTTATTGTTTACATGCAAATTTATAATTTTATACATTGTACAATGCCATGAATTTTAAAGCCTTATATAAAGCAAATTTATTTCAAGATTAATTGGGAAAATTACTTTTTAAGTGGACCAAACTAAGGACTAATGATGTTAAGTTTAATTTGTTAACATAAAGCAACAAACAACAAAAGTCGTTTGTTGGGGATGAGGGTGTAGTTGTAGGTTCTTTAGTGGTGGTGTATTTTATTTCTTTGTCTCTCTTAGGAGAGGAAAATTATCAACTATACTTGACCCTTCAATACCACATTGGGCCTGAACTGCCTGTGTCTACTTACAAGAAGATTTGTGACAGTTTGAAAAAATTCACAGTTGAACCACACACACACCCTAGAAATATTGAAGATAAAATTTAAAATATCTATCATAAATGCATATATGTAGAAAATAATATATTTTATCATCCTTTAGAAAATAAACACAAATTTATTATAAAAGTTAAAATTTACTAAACTTACAGGCGTACATGATGCCAATCAGTTGAGAAAAATGTTAATATAAAGATGCAGTATTAAATTGTAACTGCAAAAAAGTAACCGTAGTTCTACTGCATGCTTATAATAATTTCGTAGGGCCCTCCTGTTACTCTTGGGCGGAGTATAAACTCAAGTGTTGGGAGTATCTGCTGAGAATGCTGCATGACACCAGTCATCTCTGTGAGAGCTGCTCATCTCCAGTAAATTGCATATTTTGTGGTTATTATTTATTTTCACTGTTTTTCATTACATATATAAAACATGTTAACTGTTTATGTTATTGGTAAGGCTTCTGGTCAATAGCAGGCTATTATTGATTGTTAAGGTTTTGAGGAGTAGAAAGTTGTACTGGAATGTGTGTGTGCATGTAATGGGCAGATTGTGCCTCTAATCTCCCACATTGTTCCAGGATCAACTGTACTTACTTTTTCTTGTCTTAAAAAGTTATGGTAAAATGGAGATTTAACTGCTCATGAGTTCTTTCTTTGTTTTAAAACAGCTTACTTATTACTTTTTTCTTTTGGTTCTTAACATTTGGAGACTTGTATTTGTTTCAGTTCTTCTTAAAATCAGATAGAAATCTTTCAGTCTTCGGCTTTTGATAACGTGTTCTAAATCTGTGTTTGTAGTCTAATTCCATTTTTTCCTTCTCTTTCAGGGGGCTAAAGAGCTGAAGGAGAGCTACTTTCCCCCAAATCGGTAAGTATGTTTATTAGGCAGGTATCAAGTACCTGATGCTAGCTGGATAGTAATTCACATATTCTTTTTCTTTTTTCTTTCTTTCTTTCTTTTTTTTTTTTTTTTTTGGTACAGAAAATCTTTTCCCCAGAAATGAAACTTTACTGTTTGTACTGAGTGAAAGTGAATTTTTGTTTAATTTCATGTAGGCATATCTCAAATGCATTTGTGTTTCTAATAATACTACTATTTGATAATCTGTTCCCATGTAAAGTTCCCCTTGTCCAAAAATGCCCTTAATGTACTAGTTAGGGCTGAGAATCCAAAAGTTGGGAAATTCAAAAGTTAAGTTTCCCATTGTGTTTTATATTACTTAACATGCTGTTAAATTTGATGGCCTTCATATATGTGTAAAATGGCTAGGTTAATATAACTGTGGGAACCTTGACTTTGAAATTTAGAACTCAGTGTTTACATTCTTAAACAGTATTAGATTGGCTTCATGTCTGATATTATGTTTTTAGTGTGTTTGTATACTTCTTAAAGGGGAAGAACTAAAAAAAAGAGAGAATTATATCAGTGTGGGTCATACAGGCAAACACATTTTTTCCTAAGATCTACTTTAGTACATTTTTTAATGGCACAATTCATCATGTTTAATCATTTCTTTGAATGTCTAATTCAAGATCACAGATTGCCCAGGGCAGTCTAGTGACTAAGCATCAAACAAATACTAACTTTATTTGGAGAGTGTGTATTATGAAAAAAATGATATTAAAACACGATAGTTGGAATAGTGAAGTCTTCTAATGCAGAACTACTTTTTTTTTAATCCTCTCAATAGTAATTTTTTTAAAAAAATATTTTTAGTTGTAGATGTACACAATATCTTTAATTTATTTGTCTTTATGTGGTGCTGAGGATCAAGTGCTCTACCATGGAGCCACAACCCCAGCCCTCAATAGTAATTTGACTTAGTGGGTAAAATAGATATTGTAGATAGTTGGTTAAGCCTTTCTTTTGATAATTTATGGCCCTTGAGGTGTCTTTCTTACTTTTTAGGGATTGGATTTTAACATGAAAGGAAGACACTTGAACTAGCAAACCTTGCATTTTACTCTCTTATAATTCTACTCTCATTTCTCTCATGGAACCTTTTTAAATAAACAGTCAAAATTCTATGGACTTTTACTTTGTGACATGATAGAATCTAGAATCTTAAAGAGGGGCCTTTAAGAGTCTTCTCTTCCAGACTTTTGCCCTGTGTGGCAATTTCTTTGCCTATATCCCTGACAGGTTGTTAATTGATCTAGTTTCATATTGAATACTTCATTTAAAAAAAAGTAGGTCATATTTTCTATGATGTATTCTGAGGAATTCTAGTTCCACAGAAACTGAATAAATATTATTGAGGTGGGGCTGGGGTGGGAAAAGGGTTCTGTGGTCAAATAATTTGGGAAATGCTGCCTTAAACAAAGTTAAACAGGTTTCTTTACTACAGGACTTCTCAGAACCTTTAATATGCTAATGTGCATTGTGAATCTCCAAGAGGGGGATATGATATGCAGCATTCTTGAATACTTCTAATGACAGGGAGCTCACTACCTCATAAGGTAACCCATTCCTTTTTTGTACAGCTCTAATCCTTAGTCTTCCTTATATTGATCTGAAATCTATCTCCCGTACGTCTACTTCTGTTAAGTATTTATTGGTTATGCTGAGACCACTACACCCTCCTTGTGTTATCTTTTGTGTAGTACATATTTATAAGATGCTGGCCAAGTTTGTCTGGACAGTTATTATTATTTTTTATATATCATTAACTAACATTCAAGTAAATGTGGCAACCAGTTCTAAAATCAGCCTTATTTTCACTATTCTCTTGTATATTCTCTTGTATATTACTCTCCAGCTTTCCCTGATTTCTGTAAAGAAAAATGGGAACAGGTAGCCTGGGGCCCAGAAGGAACACTGATGGTGAAGAGAGGTGTGGACACTGTGACAGTCCTGTGTTTTGTGTGGGGCAACTATTATCCTAGAGTGGCAGTGATATGAACTGTGTGGGTGTTCCTGTCTGCTCTTTCTCCAAAAATCCAAACAAAGAAGGAAAGATGGATAATAGCAAAGAAACATAATTAAATAATTAGGAAATAAATAATTAGGAAACTACTATTTAATAATTTGGAAACAAATAGCTTCAGTGATTTTTGTCAACAGCTATTTTTGAGCATAACCAAATTGCCAGATTCAAAGGGTAGGTAGCCTATAAAATCAGGGTTGCCAAGTTTTTATGCAGCATTTTCTTTTGACCTCTGGAATGTCACATAGAAATACTACCGTGAAAATAACTCAGCATGGGTTGAAAATTTGCTAAATGAGAAGAAGACAAAATTACATTAATTTTTGTCAGTTTTTTATTTATGTTAATAAAGATTAGAATTTTCAATAAATACTTTTTTATTTTTTCAACTGGGGATTAAACCCAGGGGCACTTAACCACTGAGCCACATACCCAGCCCTTTTTAATATTTTTTTTAGAGACAGGGTTTCCACTAAGTTGCTGAGGCTGGCTTTGAACTTGAGATCCTCCAGCCTCAACCTCCTGAGCTGCTGGGATTACAGGTGTGCGGTGTCATAAGAGCTTTAGTAAAAACTTTTAAAAGACTTACTATTTTTAGCATTCATGTTAAGTTTTAGCATCATTAGTTAATGGTCAAAGATACTATTTTATTTTGCTGAATGTTAAATACATAGTATTTTTTTGCATAATTGAAACCTGATATCTGGATATTAGACATGGGGCAAGATGAAAGGCTGCATAGATCTGTCAAGGCTTCCTGCTTTTTCCTTTTTTAAAAAGTTAAGCTGTCTTTAAACATTGCATCTAAGAATATAGATAAGAGCAGAGGAGTTTTACACAAAATAAAAGCATGGTACAGGGAACATATAGCTGTCTGTTTTTAGGGACAGCCTGGGGGCATACAGAATGTGTTTTGACATATTATACATACATGGAGTTATAACTTCTCATTTTTGTGGTTGTACATAATGTGGAGTTTCATTGGTGGTGTATTCATGTATGAACATAGGAAAGTTATGTCCAGTTCATTCTACTGATGGACTTACTCTTTAAAGTAACCATTGGTTGACCAGTCAAATTTTGATTGGAAAAAGACATGTCAATTTAGAAATTTAAAATAATTCTTAGCAGTAAAATCAGAGTTTTATAGTTTTTTTTTTTTTTTACAGTTGTTAGAATCGTAATAAGAGACTTAGAGGTCATAGATCTCTAAGCAAAACTATTCAGAAAAATAGTTAGAAGCCCCTTTCTCAGAAAATTCAGTGTTAGAAAAGCCTGCAGCTTAATAGAAATAACTTTGTAGTAAGAAGTGTTTTTTTGTTTTGTTTTTTGGTACCAGTGATCTTCAGCTCTATTATGTATTTTTTAATTTAGAGACAAGGCCTCACTGAGTTGCTTAGCACCTCGATATTGCTGAGGGGGGCTGGCTTTGAACTCATGATCCTCCTGCCTCAGCCTCCTGAGCTGCTGGGATTATAGGTGTGCACCACCATACCCGGCAAGAAGTTTTATTAGAAAGTTTGAGTGTGAAGAAAAAAGTTAAATATGATAAGACTGTCATAACATTTTATAGTTTACAGAGGACTTTTCAGAAAATTTCACTTATTTAAACCTCACAATAATCCTCCTGTGAATAGGTAGTATTTTCTTGATTTACAAGCAAATGAACAAACCCCTGAGGATAAAAGTTGTCACACAATGAGTTTGGAATTAGTTTTTTGGGGGGGATAATAAATGTTCTTTCTAGGTGACACAGGTGCCCTTTTTAGTGAGATTTGATTATTGCTTTTGTTTGTTTTGGAGGATTTTTATTTATTTGTGTAATCTGGTTTTATGCTCTGTTTTTTTGTTATTTAAAAGCAAGAAGCTATTAAGTATCCCAGTGGTTTGAGGTATATAGTTTTTTTCTTGTTTTGTTTTGGTATTAGGGATTTAACCCAGGGCTGCTAAACCACTGAGATATATCTTCAGTCCTTTTTATTTTTATTTTTTTGGAGACAGGGTCTCACTAAATTGCTGAGGCTGGCCTCAAATTTGTAATCCTCCTGACTCAGCCTCCTGAGTTGCTGGGATTACAGTGTGTACCACTGTGCCCAGCTGGGGTATATTATTTTGAAGATTGCAAATGTTTGTATGTGGTGCTGGGCAAGTGCCCTTACTAATGATAGTATGCAGTGTTCTTGGTTGGTGAAAGGCATTGTATCTGAATACAATATGTCTATTATTATATGGTTAATCTGTTTATGGTCACCTTGCTTGGAGCAATTGATTTGTTGTCTGTAACTTATGAATCACTTATTTTAAATTTTAGAATTTATTTATTTATTTATTTATTTTTTGGAGGCAGGGTCTTGCTAAGTTGCTCAGGCTGGCCTTAAGTTTGCAGTACTCCTGCCTTAGCCTCCTGAATAGCAGGGATTACAGTCAGGTACCACCCTGCCAGGCAGTGTCTTCTTTTGATGCTATAAGTTGCCCCCAAACAGTGTTCAGATGATGGCTGCATAAGTTGTTTAAGATCCCAAAATATTTTGTAGAGGATTCAACATGTGCTTGCCTTGTCTTTGTAAACCGTAAATATATGTATGTTATTTGTTCTTTTAGGCGGAGACCAATCTCTTAAAATTACTATCCAGAAACGGACCTTTCTGAAGGATTTCAAGTGAATCCTTTACAAGTTTTTCTATAACTAGTTTACTACCTTTTTTAACCCTTCATTTTATTTTAAAATAAAATGTAATTGGCATTTAGAGTTCTTGCCAACTAAAACTTCATGCTTTTGTATGTCTCTCATAGGTAGACAACAGTCTGATGGCGGAAGTAAAAGCTGTCATCTCCTCATTAACTTGAGTTGCAGTCTTATTATCCTGCAAGGCACTCTTTGACATTTAGAGTCTCCAGGTTAAGACTGGGTTTTGTTTTTTTCTTTTTCAGAGCATTTTGTTTGATCAGTGTAACATTTTCTGGTGCTTATCAATCCTCACAAGTTTTTCTTATTTAAAAATAAGTGCATTTTTTTATGGAAAAATTCAAAAATACTAATACCCCAAAAGTAGAAAGTAAATAACTATCAGTGCTATCACCCAAAGATTTCATTAGCAAATTGTGAAGTATTGTCTGACACACATTGTAAATAGCTAAGTATTATCATGTTTACAGCTCTTCTTCAGCTTGATGGACAAAATTTACATTTCTATGACTGTTGAAGATGAATTTTTTTTATGTGTTAGTCATTCTTATTTCTTCTTTTATGAATTCCTTTTCCATGAATTTTTATTGCTAATTTATGAGTGCCCTTACTATATAAACAATATTAACCCTTTGGCATGTATAGGTTCTCCACGTTTTTTAACCTGTTTCCATAGTTTATATGAGTTCAGTTGAGCTATGGTGTTGTGTGTTGCCACCAGAATAATAAAATATGCCTTTCTATTTTTTGAAATATTTATTCAACTTCAAGGTGATTCTCAATTTTATTATAAGGGATCAGTTTTCAAAAATTAAAACTGCATACTGTTTTCATGAACTATAATATATGTTAAGAATTTGAATAGGGAGATTAGTATTTAAAATTAAAGTGTACAATTTTATATATATATATATATATATGTATATATATATATTAATTTTAGATGAACACAGTACCTTTATTTTACTTACTTTTATGTGGTGCTGAGGATCAAACCCAGAGCCTCATACATGCTAGGCAAGCGCTCTACCACTGAGCTCCAGCTCCAGCCCCAAAGTGTACAGTTTTAACATTAGCAGTTGTTTATAAAGTAAGTGTACATGACAACAGCAGAAACCTTGGTCTGAGTAACTTAATCATTTTGATATTTATTTATTTACTTATTGCAGTTCCAAAGATAATAAATAGCTAAAATACCCATCAAAATATTTGTTCATCAAAATATCTCCTTTTTCAAATTAACCCTCCTAAATACACTTCCTTTATGATTTTTTTTTTTGTTGTTTAAAGTATCATTGTACAGTGAATCTTTTCTAGCCTCCACAAACCTAACTTTGAAGGAATTTTGGACTTTGGGATTTTTTTTCCTTTTTGGGATTAGAGTATATTGATATCATGTAACATGGCATATAAACCGAGAGGAGAGAGTGCCACTGATGCTTTAAGCCTAGTAAAATTAAGAAAATATGAAAAGTAATATTCCTAATATAATATAATTAATGACTATGTCAGTGTTTTTTTTAAATATATATTTTTTAGTTGTATATGGACACAATTCCTTTATTTTATTTTTATGTGGTGCTAGGGATCAAATCCAGTGCCTCATTCATGCTAGGCAATTGCTCTACCACTGAGCCACAGCCCTGGCTCCAGCCTGGTCAGTTTTCTGAGTTGAATGTGGACTTTATTCATAGGTAAATAATTTTTAGAAAACATGAAGACCATGAATCTCATTGTATTGGGGTGAAGTAGTGGCTCTTCTAGCTTCCTGTTTATTCCCTTCCTCAATGCTAAAAAGCTACTCAAGCATCAAATTTTATAAGTGCAAAGAAGAGCAGAGATTTGAAGTCAGGGTTAAAAAAATGTATTCAGACACGTATGAAGACAGGAATGGTGTAAATATACTTTGTATACAACCAGAGATATGAAAAATTGTGCTCTGTGTGTAATATTAAAAAAAGAATAAATTTGACCCCCTAAATGTATTAAGCCCCCCCCCAAAAAACCCCACTTTTGCTTTGGCAAAGAACCCCAAATCATGTCTAAGGCACATTTTTAAAAATATATATTTTTTAGTTGTAAACGGACACAATATCTTTATTTATTTATTTTTACCTCACATGTGCTAGGCAATTGCACTACCACTAAGCTACATCCCCAGCCCCCTAAGGATTAAGGATTAAGTCATGTTTGGGTTTACAAGTCTAGATTTTTGACATTATCTCCACATGTAGTTATACATGTAGTCAGAGATGCACTGGCAAAAGTGTGAAGAGAGGATGATGTTCACTATGAAGCCAGAAGCACATTCCGTTAGCCGCCCATCTCCAATTCTACATACAGCAGTATCTCCCATAATACACCCATCATAATTTTATGGATAGCACAGATTGTATAGATAAATACAGTGCAAAGTACCTATACTAAGTCATATTATTGTATTTAACTTGTTAAGTTTAAATATTTAAATTATACCAGAACTCCCATTTTAATTTATTTATTTTTATTTTATTTTATTTTTTTAAAGAATTTAACCTTTATTTATTTATTGTTGATTTTTTTTTTTAAATGTGGTTCTGAGGATTGAACCCAGGGCCTCACCTATCCTAGGCAGCCGCTCTACCTCTGAGCCACAACCCGAGCCCTTAATTTCTTTATTTTTAAAATAAGAGTAGTAAGAGCCTAACCAAATGAAAATACCCTAGTTTTCTTTAACTTGTGAGGAACTCAGCTCTCCAGTGTACTCTTTGTGATGTTTAAAAATGTGTGATCATGTTTTGTGTCTCTTTTCTAAGGACAGTGTATTCTGGATGATGATGGTTTCTAGGGAGGAAGTGATGTTACTCAGTTCTGTGCTTAGTAGGTGGTATGTAACACAGTGCTTAGTTTGTAGTGAGTGGTTATGTTTCCATGACCATGACTTTTTGTTATTTTTCTTTTCTTAGTCTTTTAAAGTGTTCTGTAGAGGAATGCTCAAAAGACTAAAACCCAGAAATGTTTGATACTGAATTGTTTTAGAGAAAAATCTGGGATTTTCTTCCTCTGTTAAAAATCAAATATTTTGGGGCTCATATTTAACATGAATATGTTCTTTATTCCCAATTAATGATCCATAACATTTTATGATTTGTACAGCTGCATCAAGAAGAAGAGTTTGTTATTTTAAACAGAGGCTGAAGAACTATAGAATTAGCAGACATAAGAGAAAGTGTGGAGAAGGTAGAGGATGGAGTTGCAGACTCTACAGGAGGCTCTTAAAGTGGAAATTCAGGTTCACCAGGTACGTTATGTTGTTGGCTTCTCCTACATTGGGCATTAAATTATGACTAAGATTAGTAAACTGGCCCATCTCTGGTTTTGGGTAGTTTGAAAATCATCTTAAGACAGTTATTCCAGAGTGATGTCATTTGCCTCTTATACTCAACAAATCCATCAATACTTTTAAGAATTTTCATAAAATATTCCTGACTTCCCTTCCAGAGAAAAGGACTGAAAATATATATTTTTTAGTATCCCAGAGGTATTTAAAAAACACTTTTTTTTGTTCTGTTTTTGGTTTTGGTTCTTTGAAGGACCTTTGTTCATGTGCTATATAACTTGCATGTAAGTTATGAGACATACGGAGCTTAAGTATCATATATACTAGTTTTTGCTCATAGGATACAGCTTTATGCCATTTTTCTTTGGTAATGATTGCTTTCACAGGTGTTTAAATTTCAGATTTCATAATTCTTACACTTACCTTAGTTACCCAGACTGAACAAATCTTTAATGTGTATAGTTATAAAAGTGCATATATAAGATGTGATTATGTTTATATAATGTTGTTTCTATAATCTGTTAACCTTAATAAAATAATTAATTTTTATATGTTGATATGAATATATAAAAAATATAATTAAATCAAGACAAAAATATTTTCATAGATAACTAAATAATTAACACTGTGTAAACAGAATATTACTGTTTTGTGTCTATTTTCTAGACATTAGCTGGGCATTAGGCTAAAGACACATACAATCATGCATACATGTATAATTCTTGATACTCAAAAGTGGTAAATGGTGATGAATTGATTACTTCTAAAGTATAACAGTTGAGGTATAATATTATTTAAAAAATATTTTTTTTTGTAGTTGTAAATGGACAGAATGCCTTTTATTTAATTTGTTTATTTCTATGTGGTGCTAAAGATCGAACCCAGTGGGCTGGGGCTGGGGCTGGGGCTCAGTGGCAGAGTGCTCACCTAGCATGCACGAGGCAATGGGTTCGATCCTCAACACCACATAAATGTAAAATAAGATATTGTGTCTGCCTAAAACTTAAGAATAAATATTAAAAAAAAAAGCTTGAACCCAGTGCTTCACCCATGCCAGGCAAGTACTCTGCCACTGAGCCCCAGCCTTGATTTAATATTCTTTTTTTTTTTAAGTTATCCTAAACCTAAATACTCTCTTAATAGTCATATTAACTGTCAGTTTCCCTGTATATTCAGCTACTGGGTTTGAACATAAACTTGATAGATTTTATATTTATTCTTACTATACAACATTTTGTGTACTAACAAATGTTTCTATGTCAATTAATGTTTTAACATACAAAACATATAAGACATTTCACTCTAGTTACTTCTATTTTTGAAAAAAATGGGTAATATTAAATCCAAATGACATGCCTGCTTCATAAAACTAATGTTTTCTGATTGGATATGGAGTAACCTACTCAATTGATGATCATGACGTATTCAGGGATGCTAGAAATGATGGAGTAAAGGCATTGGTTGTAGAAGCCAGGCAAAAGGTATCCTTTTTTGCATTTCCAGTTACAGAATGAGATTAGGCTGGAATTAAACTTACTGTATAGAGATCATATTATGAACCTGCCTGCTTTTGCTATAGTGGAAGTAAATTTTTGATCTTTGTTTTCTTTTTGAGGGGAGTGATAGAGCTATGTATATACATATTTAATGTTCAATAAATATTTATAATGGCCATCTTTTGGAAGGGAAGGCCCCTTTCTCTCCTCTCTTTTTTTTTAAAATTTTTTTTTAGTTGTAGATGGAATAAATACTTTTATTTATTTTTATGTGGTGCTGAGGATGAACCCAGTGCCTCACTCATGCTAGGTGAGTGCTCTACCACTGAGCCACAACCCTAGCCCCTGTCTCCTCTCTTTCTTTGATTGTTTTTAGGTAGATTTAATGGAGGCTTATTGAAACTTTCAGAGTATTTATTCCATATGGAATGGAGAATAGTTTGATGCAGAGGTTAGCAAACTTTTCTGTGAAGGGCCAAATAGTAGGATATTTTAGATTTTGCAGGTCATTTATAGTCTCTCTCACAATTTCTGTGCCCTATTGTGTATAGACAAGTCAATCACAAATGGTTTGGCTGTGTTTCATAAAACTATTTGAAAAACAGGTGGTGGGCCAGTTTGACCAATTGGCTGTCATTTACTTATCTTTAACATACAGTATATCCTCCTGAAAAATTGTTGTGTTCTTATAATAAAGGGCAACTTTGATTATACAACATCAGCCTCAAGTTGCTGGGAGTTTGGGTGGTCTAGAAAGTTGCTCAGCTTGTCCACACTTAATCCTGATTGTCTAAAATGCTGTTTAACTGTACATAGAAAAGTTGGTTTATTTATATCCTCAAGAGGTGGAGAGTTAGTAGGGTTATCAGTCAGTTTTTAGATTTCAGTGTCATGGAAGAAAAGCCTTTTCAGCTTCAAAAAGATAATTTTAGTATGAATAGCCAGTTCTCTGGTAACCAAATCAGAGGCTTTTTTCATTGAAGACTATGGCTAGATTTGTAAAAATATATAATACCTTGTGTTTTGTTTCATTCCTTTCCTTTGTGTGTGTGTGTGTGGTTGGGGAACTGGGGATTGAACCCAGAGTGCTTAACCACTGAGCTATATCCCCAGCCCTTTTTTAAACATTTTTATTTAGAGCAGGTTCTCACTAAGTTGCTTAGGGCCTCACTGAGTTGCTGAGGCTGGCTTTGAACTCGTGATCCTCTTGTGTCAGTCTCCTGAGCTGTTGGGATTACAGGCATGGGCCATTGTGCCCAGCAAACCTGTGTTTCAATTCTGTTAACTCTTAGAATGTGTATTGTTATTACTATGTAGGTTAAGTCTAGGATATAGAAGAGCTACTATTGTCAAATATGAGATAGAACATAGTGACATTCACTTTGTGTATTTGGAGATCACATGATTGCAACCTCAGCTATCTAGAATATGTCTTAACGCCAGAAAGAAAGTCTTTTGTCCAATTAGAATTAATGTCAGAAGTCATTCGCCAAAGATTAAACATTTAACTCAAGGGGGATTTCTTAGGTTTTTTTAGTCTATTTACTCATCTTAAAATTAGTCTAGTGAGTATATCACGGCTGATCAGAAGGACCAAATTTAAGTTGGGGTTCAGGGCTGTTAAGTAGGAGGCCCAACAATAGTAGCAAGATTGCTAGCTGACTGCTTTATATTATAGACTGAAATGATAAAAGGTAGAGATAACTTTTTTTTTTTTTTGGTACCTGGGATTGATAATAGGGGCTCTTAACCACTGATCCTCATCCCCAGCCCTTTTTATTTTTAATTTTGAGACAGAGTCTCTCTAAGTTGCTTAGGGCCTGGCTAAACTGCTGAGGTTTGCTGTTGCAGTGGGTCATACAAATAAGTTTTAAAGAACTTGCAATCCTCCTGCCTCAGCCTCCTGAAACACTGAGATTCAGGCACGCACCACCATGCCCTGTTTAACAACTCTTTAAAACAGCAAGACCTCTTTTACTGTAAGTGTCTTATTGTACTGTTTGTAGTATAGTATGTTAATTCATACTTTTGTGCCTCTAAGTAACAATAAGAGTTTGACAATTTAGAAGTGCCTTGTTAAGATTTTTCCATTGTATGAAAAACTCACTTGGAAAATAGCTTATTCCTAGATACTTTCAGGAGTCAGCCTTCTGATATTCCTTTATCCTTCAATTTTGTCTGTTCATCATTATTGCTACCTTTGCAGCAGTGTTTTTACAAGATGGGTACGTCAAATGTGGGGCTTCCTTTTCCTAGTAAAGGTCTCATTCTTTTTCCCAGAGGAGTATAGATAGGTAGAGATTTGCATTATTCCTCCACTTTCTTGTTCTTAGATATTGAGTATCATTGGTCCACTGAATGTATTCTTCCCTGAGGTCCCCTCTTACCTTGATAGAAGACAGTGGCAAACTCACCCCTGACACCAGGCTCCCTCTGTTGTGAGAATCAGCCCAATACATCTGCCAAATCTGTACTCCAAACAGGCTGGTTTTGAATGGGTCTTTTCAGGTCTTGTGAGGACTTTAGACAGTGACAGCATGTTAGAGGGATGCCTAGCTTGTGAGCAGTCGCCTTCTTTAAATTGCTTTTTAAAAGCCACTGACCTCCATCCCTGTCTCCAAATTGAAAAATCAGGTACTTTTTCATTTCAAATGTAAAGTGATAGTTTGGTTACTTTGTTTTTCCTATTAAGAAGAGTGCTTCATTAGCTTTTCACGTGGATCACACAATCTTTTTTGTCTATTCTGATTGTAGTGGTGTTTTATTTTGTGTGTGAACTTAAAACCCTCAATTTGGGGGGCCCAAAATGATTAGCCCTACAGCATTAATATTTAAAACTAATGGTTCTTTTTTTCTTTTTATTATCAGAAACTGGTTGCTCAAATGAAGCAGGATCCACAGGTAAAATATTTTGCTATTTTCATTCGCTCAATTTTTAAAATTAAAAAATAATTTAATAAAATGACCATAAAATATTCAAATATAGTTGGTCCTTAAGTTTTAAAGAACTCTTTCATGTCTAACAGCAAATATCTTTAGCACGTTGGTCTTCATGTTTTATGAGTTTAGAAAAATCCAGTCATTGTACTATTATATAGCTATCACTTCATCTTTGTTATTGTTAATTCGCTTTTATGTTCATTGCTCCAGGTATTTTGGGAGAAATATTGAGAGTTAATATTAATACTGTTCATATATTGTATTTTTTGCAGTACTGGAAATTGAAGCCAGGGGAGCTTTACCACTGAGCTACATCCCCAGCCCCTTTAAAAATTTTGAGATTGGGTTTCACTAAGTTGCTGAGGCTGGCTTTGAACCTTGTGATCCTTCTGCCTCAGCCTCTCGAGTTACTGGATTTACAGGTGTAATCTCAGTGTGCCACCATACCTGGCAATATTCTTCATATAACTTAAATTTCATTTTCTTAAGCTCACTTAATTAAAACCAGAGTTTGTAAGGGTTTCTTTAGTATCAAAATTATTGAAAGTGGACCTAAATCATTCAGTTTTAGAATAAAATAATAAAAGTATTTAAAATTTTTTTGAAAGAGCCATTCAAGAGGGTTTTAGAAATATCTTATATAATGTATGATCTAGAAAGGGTTAAATTTCTTTAAATTTTCATAGTTTTTATTCTCTACTTCTGAAGAGAAATCTTCTCCAAAAGTTATCTTGTCCTCTGAAGATTTATATTTGTTACTCAGGCAGTGTTTCTTTTGCAACCATTAGACAGTGGGTCATACAAATAAGTTTTAAAGAACAAATTTGGCAATCAGTTGTGTGAGTATTGGTATTTTAATGCTGGGATTGATAACTCACATTTAGTTCTGTTTGACAGTCGAACTTCCATGAGAAAGCTCTTTTTTATTTTTATTTCTGTGGTATATTTAAAATTTAAGTTGGATTTCGGGAACCAAGAAGCCATAGATCCTGGATTAATAGATCCTTTCATTAGCACCTGAAGTACCATTAGAAGCTAGCCTTTTTAATGTAGTTTGTGATCATGTAAAAATAGTCTTAACCAGAAGAATCTGAGGGGCAGCAATTTGTGAGACAGCATTATAGGTGAACTCATTAGAAAAGCCTTTTATCAGATATAGTTTTAAAAGTTCCAATGGGGCTGGGTACAGTCATGCATCCTTGTAATTCCAGTTATGTTGGGAGGCTGAGGCAGGAGGATCTCAATTTCAAGGCTAGTGTGGGCAACTTAGTGAGACCCCATTCCAAAGTAAAAAATTAAAAGGATTAGGGATATAACTCAGTAGTAGAGTGCTAGCAAAGCATATGTGAGCCCCTGCATTCATTTCCCAGTACTGTCCAAAAAAAAAAAAAAAAAAAAAGTCCAAATGAAGTAAACTTTAAACTCCCTAGAGGGTGAAGATGTGTGCTCCAACTCTTAATAGCAGACCAGGCTGGATATATTAAGTGTGTGTGAAATGATCGAGTAAAAGTAAGTCTCATTGGGCGAGGATGTGGGGATGGGGTTTCAGTCTGCTAGTAGGCTCTCCTGCTACACTAAACATTTGAAAACTTAAATTCCCCCCGCCCCACTTGAGTAAAAGGCAAGCATGCTCAGTGTATCTCATCTAAAATGGTATTCCTTTTTTTGATTCCTAGAATTTTAGAACTGAGAAAATGCCCTGGTAGTCAGTGTGTTAATTTGAATGATGTAGTGTGTTAAGGCAGTTTGAGTACTGACAGCTTTTCAAATCTAGGCTAAAATAACAAATGTACTTTACTAAATAAGGGAGAGGACAAGTAGAGAAAAACCTCTTATCTTTGTTGATAATGCTGCTGAGCATACAGTGTATGCACATTTATGACCTCCATTTTCCTGGTTTTGTCTGATTAGTGGAGCTTCGGGTTTTCTGTCAACTGATACATTCTAAAAAGAATAACAGTATTTTAGTAGCAAGGCACTTTTATAGTGCAAGAGGCTAAAATATAAAACAACTTGTAATTTAAAACAGCTGAAAGAATCTTCCCCTATTCTGGTGCTAGGAGCCTACATTTAGGATTTCTGCATTAGGGGGTGATATTGTGTGTATAATTTAATGCATGACAAATTTGATTGGCTAAATGCTTAAGGTTGCTTCATCATTTGTAATACAGTATACAGTCTTCTTGTTACTATTCTGTTAACAAATGAATATCTTTCTCACAGATATTTTTTCTTTCCAATCAGAATGCTGACTTAAAGAAACAGCTTCATGAACTCCAAGCCAAAATCACAGCTTTGAGTGAGAAACAGGTAGGGAAGTTGGAGGGGGGTGGGGTGGTATTTTTAACATTGTGTTCTAAAGATATGTCTGCTCCTGGCTTCTAAGAGAGCTGCTATTTTTCCTCATGTGTGAAAATAAGTGTGGGCAGCCAGACTCGATTTTAATTTTGTTTGAGCTCTGTTTGTCTATTTTTATTTTTGGTTGAAATCAGTCTCTAGAGTATCCCATGGGTATATGTTACTGGCAAACATCTGAAAGCAACGTGGCAGGCTGCCGTTAACTGTTAATTAAACTCTATAGTTTACCCATAGGGGAAGGGTACAGAAAGTTAGTGGGAGTGTGTGGTAGAGTCCTGTAGCTGCTGTATGTCTTACCTGTTGTAAAGGTTCAAACTGACATTTAATTTACTGAGAGAGAACAGCTGTTAAGTGGATCTCTAAATTCTAAGTATTGTCATATTTCCATGTTAATCTTATCAGATATTTACCTACTATTAGGCGAAAAAACAAGAAGAAACTTGTTAGACTTATTCTATATAGTGTCTTCCATTTTCCCAAAGACATGTGGAAAGTATTGTTTGGAGTTTTTTGTATAATGACTTCCACTTCACCAATTCAGGCAGTTCCTGCCACCAGGTGGAGTGTGACAATTGATAGAACTGTAAGTAAATGTCTATGCTGATCTGTTAAAGCATTTGTTCTCATGTTTTTTTCCCCACCACTTTCTCTGGTTAAAAAGAGCATTTTCTGTCGCGTGATAGGTAAATATGTAGGATAAAGTGATTTGTAGTTGATAGTTCATACTAGTGACATCTTACTGAAGATGAAATAATTTTTTGATGAAATAATTCTCAGTAACTGATTTTTATGGTTTTTAAAAACTTTCATTTAGTGAAATATGAGCTTCGAATAATTTATTCCTGGAAATGTCTGATTGTGTCTGAATTGTTTTTTTTTTCATTTAACTGAGGGGGAAATAAACTTTGAGAGGACTGTGTGGAAAAGATGAGTTAGCATGAGTTAAGTCTTCTTCCAGGTGGTGTGAACAACTGTTTTTTACTCCTCTCTTTTATTCTTATGCTTCCCCATCTTGTGTTCCCTACAGACTATAGGTGTTTTAGATAAGGGAAATGCCAAAGTAAAATCAGGAGGAAATGGGATTGGGGAAAACAATTTGTAAGGAAAAATACAGAGTTTGTTAATATATATTTGGCTCTGAATGTGATTCTGTTCTCTCAAGTCAAAATGATGTGTGTTAGTGAAAGTATTCTAGCTTTAGAATACTGGTAGTGCTGAGACTCCTTGTAGTTTCAGGGTTAGTTTGACAAGATGCCAATGAGTGAGTCACTTTTGCTGAAAAATTCACGTGTTCCAGCAGAGAAAAAGGGTGAGAACTGATGAGTGGAATAGGGGGTTGGGGGATGCTGTTGCAGTTAGGCCAACCCAAGCTTACATTTAGGGAAAATGGAGTAATTAAAGACAACATTGCATTTGTTTGAAATTTTTGTTTGTGAGAACTAATGTAAAGATTTGGTTTATTATATAATTTCTATTTTTAAAATTTTTTCCTGCTAGGGACCTCATTTAGTAGAAAATTGCAACCATCTCTGTTCAGTAAGATAGTTCATCAGGTGGCAAATTCTGCTTGTTGGCTGAACTAGGTTTGGATTCTAGGAACTGGACTTAAAAATGTCTAATGTCAGGAAAACCTGAGGTATACAAGATAAAGAAAACTGGAGTCAGAAACAAAATGCAGTCTTGCAGTTTTTATAGTATTTGCTTAACTGTTAAAACAGTCTTCTTGATGAAATAGGAAAATATCACTTTTAGGTAGGATAGTACTTGAAGGAAGCACAACTATAAAGTTTAAAAGCCGATCCTTCCTTGGGCTTATTTCCAACATGAAACATTGCTATTGCTAATTAAGCTGTAGTTTAAAATAGTTTCATTTTAGGACAGATTCCTAATGCTTTATGCCTAGCTTTTTGTTTCTACTTCTCAAAAGATCCACTTAGCCTCTGGCAAACATACTGATTTTTCTAAAATCTGAATTACCTTACTCACATGACTAATATTTAATTTAGCATTAATTTTTGGTTGTGAGAAAAATTAAAGCTTTGTAGTATGAAAAATAATGTCATATTCCAGAATTAATAACTATTAACTCTTTGTCCTATTTGCTTCCATTTTTTTCATCTGTGTTTTTCTGTATTCATTTGAAAACGTAATTATACAATTAATAAATGCAAATTTTCTCTTATTTGCTTTATTTTGTTTTCTTACAGTAGACACTTACTAGTTCTTATTCTTTATTGTGACCTTGATTTTTGATACTTTCTTCCTTAAGTCTAATTATGTAATGATGTACTTCATTTGGGAAAAGATGGTCTTTAATGAACATTCTTCATGGCTGAAACTCAGTGTATTTCACTGAACTATTGGTTATAAGGTTCTAGTTCTTTCAAACTGTAACTTGAGATTTCTAAATAAAAACTCTCAGATTTTGAAGTCAGTTTATTAATCTACAGGGCTGTAATTGGTGGTTGACAATTATAACTCAGAAAATACCCAGACTTGATTGGCTAGGTGAATTATATATCATTAAATTTATGGTTTTAAAAACACTACTTAAAAAAAAAAACTACTTTAGTGGCAATGAAATATGCTCCTGATAAAATAAGTGAAAGTGTGCATATAACTTTATATGCATTATAATCCCATTTTTGTGTTTGTGCATATGTGTGTGAGAATTAGAGTGTGTAGCGAAACAGTGTCGGTATAAAATGTTGAAAGGTGATGATTTGGGTTTTTTTGCGGGGGATACCTGGGGATTAAACTTGGGTACTTGACCACTGAGTCACATCCCCAGCCCTATTTTGTATTCTTTTTAGAGACAGGGTCTCTTGCTGAGTTGCTTAGTGCCTCACTTTTACTGAGGCTGGCTTTGAACTCGAGATCCTCTTGCCTCAGCCTCCCAAGCTGCTGCAGTTACAGGCAAAAGGTGATGATTTTACAGGTGGTTTATTTTTTTCTGTATACTCCTTTGTATATTTCCTAAATTCTCCATAGTAAATATATTTCCACTTTAGAATCAGAAATAAACAAATATTATTTTAAAGAAATTTTAATATTAACCTCTTCTCTGTGCCAGAGATAGTTAGCATCTAAAAATCTTATGACATTCTCTAATAATATGTGAACCACTCTACTCAGAGAGTTCAATAGTAGTAATGCTGAATTGTGGAAGCAACTGTTAGTTTCCTTAACAGAGTCTGTTCTTATTCTGTATTTCCCTATCTACCCCCCCCCCTTTTTTGGTACTGGGGGTTGAACTCGGGGGCACTCAACATCCAGAGCCCTATTTTGTATTTTATTTAGAGACAGGGTCTCATTGAGTTGCTTAGTGCCTTGCTGTTGCTGAGGTTGGCTTTGAACTCACGATCCTCCTGTTTCAGCCTCCTTAGCTGCTGAGATTATAGGAGTGGGCCACTGTGCCTGGTCCCCTATTTTTTACAGGCATTTTGGTCCTTTTCTTTTAAGAATAGATTGATTCTTATATTGGATCCAAAACTCTTAGTTGCTTTAGTTCTTGCTTTAATTCTAATTCCTTCTAGAAGCACTGGTGGTTTTATTTTGTTGTTGTTATTGTTTATTTTAGTTGCATTGCCTGGGATCAAACCCAGGGTCTCTTGAAAGCTAGGCAAGTGCTCAACAATTGAGCTACACCCCCAACCCAACCCAAGAGGCAATCTTAGCATCACAGAGTTTGTTCTTTGGCCCTGTGGATATTCAGGGTTAAGTCATCGAAGTTGTATTCTTGGTTTCCCCTGGTTTTGAATGGTTTGATACCCTACTTCCGTTCACCTGGCAGGTTTCACATCACAGCTCCCTCTGAGGAGCCATCCCTGAAACCTCTCATTTCAGTCAAAATCAACTATTCTGTCATAATCTCTCTTTGAACCTTTCCATTTTCCATCATCGTTATGCCCTTTAAGATTAAGTTCAGCTGTGAATGACTGAAAAACCTCAAGTAAATGTGGCTCCTGATAAAATAAGTAAAGTTGTGCATATAACTTCATATGCATTATAATTTCCTCTCTCACACCTGAAAGCTCTGTGGGAGGACTCTGGCTGGGAGAGTGGTTCCACATTGCAGGGAACCCAGGCTCCTCCTATTCTGTTGCTCTGCCATTCTCAGCAAGAAGCTTCCACATCATAGTCCAAAATAGCAACTCCATCTGGTGAGAAGGGGGAAGACAACAAATGGCAATTAAGTATGGAAGTTACATGTACCACTTCCAGTTAGGTCCCATTGAACTGAGCTTAGTCACGTGGCTTCAGCTAGGAGCAAGGAAGGTTGGGAAATGTGGGTTATTGTTGGTCATCATGGCCAGGTAAAATTCAGGGACTGTTTTTGAGTAAGAAATGGGAAATAATTACTAGGGATAATTAGCAGTTTCTAATACTATAGCACATCACAGTTTGTAATTATATATCCATCTATAGGATTACTTTGGTATTTTTGTTTGTTTTGTTTTGCTTATTTGTGGTGCTGGGGATAACACCCAGGGACCTGCTCACATCCTAGTGTTTGTCTTCCTTATTGAGTGTTAGTTTCTAGAATACAGAGAGCATGTTTGTTGTTCATTTTTTCCTTTTATATTTAGTATACTATTTAACAAATAATAGTATTTAGCACAGAAATATTTGTATTTCTTAAATGAATTTAACTGGTCTTTTTCTCCACTTATAGATAATTCTTATTTTGTGGGAGGGAGTACCAGGGATTGAACTCAGGAGTACTCAACCACTGAACCACATCCCAGCCCTGTTTTGTATTTTATTTAGAGACAGGGTCTCACTGGATTGCTTAGTGCCTCGCTTTGTTCTCGTGATCTCCTGCCTCAGCTTCCCAAGCTGCTGGGATTTCAGGTGTCCACCACCATCCCTGGCTCAGATAATTCTTTTTTATTTTAAAAACAGTGCATCTTGTTTTTATTTTTTAAAAACTTAATCTGTTATGAATATCT